AGTTGATAGAGGAGGAACAGGAGGATGTCTTTGTGGGAGCAGAAGGAAAAGGGGGCAGGAGCCGTGATGACTGCATCGTGAGTTCTTGAGGGCCTTGCTGAGGTGCTAGGCTTTGTCTCCCGGCCTGTGCAGAGCCAGGGAAGGGTGTTGAGGACTGCATGGTCACAGTGGGATGAGAAGAGGCCATCAGGGTCTGCAGGGTCAGTGAGAGGAGAGGAATTGGGTGAGAGAGGCGGAGAGTGCAAGAGGAGAGACATGATCTGCAGCAGGCACACACCCAGGTGTGCCCCTCACACGTGTACACCCTTTGGGCACGCCACATGCACACCGCGTGAAGGCACACACTCTGTCTCAGTTAGCTGGGGCTGCTGTGACAAAATGCCTGGACCAGTGCCTCACACACAGTAGATGTTCACTGCTCCAAGTTCTGGAGGCTGGAAGTTCACGATCAGGCTCTTGGCAGGGTTGGTGAAGACATGAGACTCATAGTGCCTTCTGTGTGCTGTCAATGGGGAGAAAGGACAGGTCTCTCTGAGGTCCCTCTCATAAGGACACAAGTCTGTTCACAAGGCTATGCCTCTGCGACTTTAATCACCTCCTAAGGCCCTGTGTCCTCGCTTGCACTTTGATGTCAGGATGCTGGGTGAATTTTGGGACACAAACTTTCAGACTGTGGCTCACACACGGCGGTGCCTCTCCCAAGAGTGCAGGGGCAGTGGAGTCCGTAGTAGGTGGGGAGGTGTGACAGGAGCGCTCATACCTGGGGTGACCTCAACGTCGGCACACAGAGGTGGTGGTCTTTGTGTCACCTGTACAGGGCGAGTGTAGAGTTTAAAGTAGGATAGGATTGCTGTCCAGAGATTTGAGAGAGCAGCTCTGTTTAGGGTGAGGGATATGGCCCCAAGGGAGCTCTTGGGATGGCAGGTGTAGGTTCCACCTTCTAGCACAGCACCTCAGCTTTGGTAGTGCTCGGGCAAGCCAGCCCCGGGCTCCTTCTCAGGTGAGGAATGCCTGCCCAGGTGTGTTCTCTGAAAAAGCTAGGTGGCGGCGTCTGCAGCCCCCAGGGTGGTAAGCCCATTGCCGGCCTGGGGTCCGCTTCCCCAGTGAGCGCCTCTAGGCTGAGGCTTTGGGCTGCTCTTCTCGGCTTCTCGGATCGGCACTAGCTATTCTCTCAGGGTTGTCCCTAATCTTCGGTTTTTAAAAACAAACTGAGGGACAGAGGACCTTCTGGTCATCATGGCAGAGTGTGGACAGGCCTGGTGTGCTGGGTCCCTGCCCCGGTGTGAGCCCTGCTCCTCACTGGCGTGAGGGTGATTCCTGGAGACAGGGCCATCAGTGTGCACCAGAGCAGGTGACTATGTCCTGGCACGCCCTACCTGACAGTGCCCAGGCCTGGGAAGGGTCCACCATTTGGAGCCGGCTGGCCTCCAGGGAGAGATAGGGCCTGTGGCCCACAGCCTGCCAGTGCTGTGGGCCGTCCTGTTTTTCTCCCAGCACCTGAAGGGCCTTGTCCCAGCTCCTCGGGAGTGGGAGCTGTGGGATACCTGCTCCATAATCTGCACTGAGCTGCTGACTCACTGTCTGCCTCCCACCCTGGTGCGGAGCCTCTGTGCTCCTCCCCGGCCTCCCTCCTCCCCCTAGGGCCCCAGCTGCAGGAGTGGCCACGGGCAGCAGAGCTGGGGCGGGCGGGAAGTCAGTCTCTCTCTCTCCCAGCCCAGACCCACCTGCACTTGACAGGACACTTATTTTTACACACTGTCGGCTGGAAATAAGCAACTTTATTTAAAGAGAATGTGGATTCAGAGCGCTAAAAAAAGCACCCAGCAACTTGCTAGGGCTGTTTTAGGAGTGATTCTCCTGCCTGCTTTGGAAGGAGGCTGTAGGGCCCATGCAAGGGGAGCCGAGGACGCAGTGGGAGGAGGGGCCAGGTGGGATCTGTGTGATCAGAGCTCCCACCAGGGGCACAGAGCTTTGGGGACAGCGCATGGGGTCAGGACAGCGCATGGGCCTGGTCTGGGCAGTGTCCTTAGCCCTTAAGGAGCACAGCCCTGTGGCATCACCAGTGACATGGACTGTGCTGAGCTGCAGTCTGAATCCCCTTGCCCAGGACACTCGCTCCTGTCTTTGAGAGAGCTGTCTCAGTTTCACCTTTGAGGAGTCTTTGCGTCAACTCCCTGATCTCTGTCAAGGGCTGGGGCCGTGCTGGTCTTTAGTGGGTGTGTGTGGGTATTTTATTTATGCTTTCATAATTCTAATTATTCCCACCTGGTGACATGTGCAGGCTGTCAGGGGACAGGTCCCCCACCTCTACCTCATGCTTGCAGCAGTGGCTGTCGCTGCTGCCCTGTTCTGGAGACATTTGTTGCATGTTCAGGTGTTGTCACTTCAGACGTGAGCTTAATGCTGCTATTGTGTGGGTGTGTTTCGTGACACCTGGTGGCTGGATGTGTCCTCCACCTGTGTGCCACCCCTCCACAGCTGGCTTCAGGACATTCCAGGGCTCACACTGGCTCTTTAGAGCCACTGGAAGCATCACTGTCTCCTGTGAACACTTCAAACAAAAACTCCTTTCTTCTTTGTTGTTAAAATGTCCACGCGTTGTAGGGAATTTGACTATACCCACAGGTACAAAGGAGAAGGTCAGATTCCTTGCTGCCCTGCTGCCAGAAGGAGCTGCAGAGATTTAGCCCGTTTCCTTCCAGGCTTTTTTTTTTTTTTTTTTTTTTTTTTTTTTTTTTTTGGTTTTTCTCCGGTACCGGGAACCGAACTCACGACCTTGCGCTTGCCAGGCAGGCGCTTTGCCGCTGAGCTAAATCCCCAGCCCCTTTCCAGGCTTGTTTATATGTACTGTCTAGCTGAGTATGTATTTTTCCTCCTTCTGCAAGCAGAGGCTCTAACACACATGAAAGTTGTATACCCTGTATTTAAGTTGTATGGAATGTTGAAAGCTTTCTCCACACCTCTGTGTAGTCTTTGAAAATACGTTTATCAGTTGCATACAGGTGTTCTTTACTTTACTGCTGTCACCCTGCCCTGCTTTCTCATGTCATCAAGGCATGTGTCCTCAGTGGCTCTTGGTCCCCATGTGTCACCTCCATGCTTCACAATGCCAACCTTGTGGACAGTTTCTGGCTGGCATCCATTCTGACTGACCAATGTCTAGTACTGAATTTTTAATCTCACCTCTGACTTGCGCTTGATTCTCTTAGCCACTGGGTTTGACTGTTCTGCTACAACAAAGTGCCACAGAATGGTGGCTTAAACAAGACATGTCAGTTGTGTCATTGTTCTGAAGTGGGGATCTCAGATCAGGTGTCGGGCAGCCCTGCCGCCTTCTGAAAGCTCAGGGAAGGGTGCTTCTTGCCTCTTCCAGCTTTGGGGAGCCAGCAGTCCTTGGTGTTCCTTGACTGACAGTCCCGTCACTCAAGTCCCGGCCATGGTTTTCACGTGGCCCTCTTCACATCATCCTCCTTGAGAATGTCCTCCAGGGAACAAGTCCTAAGTGCGCCTTGTAAGGCCACCAGCCACAGTTGGTTAGGGTGTACTCTAACAACCTTATTGTGACTAGATCACCTCTGTAAAGACCTTATTTTCAAGTAAGGTCACATTTTGATGTCTCAGGGGTTAAGATACCAACATATCATTTGGAAGGACTCAATTCAGCCCTTAATAGCCACCAGTTACCCAGTCCAGAGAGCTTGGACCATGCTGGAGCCCCAGCCACTTACAGTAGGTAAATGCACTTTTCTCTAAACGTTCCCACCCTTGCCCAGATACAGTCACATGAAGCTTTGTGCTCTTCGAAGCAGGTGAGGTGCACATGTTGTTTGTAGGGCTTCCTCCCTGCCGGGACATGTCTCCTGGTCTCTGGGAAGGCTGGAGAATGTGGCTGGGCGGAATCCACTGCAGAATGTTCCATGTTTGTGACTACCTTCTCCATGATAAGGGTTTTATCTGTGATTTAGATCCTCAACTCACGTAGTGGCCTTGAGTCTAAACTCACTTTTAAGAAGCATTTATATGGTTAAGTTTTATGCTAACTATTGTACTTTCTTTTCAGCATCATTGTTGTGGTTAGACCTGTCTGTGTGTGTGCTGTGTCTGTGATGGATATATCCAGTTGGATTCATCAGACCAGGCTCTTGGGCCCCCTCTCTCATTAAACATAGCATTTATGTTTTGCTAATGATGCTATAGTTTTAGTGTAGGCCTTTTAGATTTGAATTACTTTTTTGGAGAAAAATCAGTGTTAGATTAGGATTGAAGTTAATCAGCTGCAGGATGAAGTTGTTTTGCCTTTTTAAAGAAAGAGTAACCAGCACTTGAGAGCATAAGACAGGAGGATTGCTGCAAGTTCGAGGCCAGCCTGGGCTACATAGTGAGTTCAGGGCCAGCCTATATAGTGAGACCCTGTCTCAAAACCAACAAAAAAATGGTTGGCCTACCACACAGTTTATATAGAGTTTTTTGTAGAAACTTGTCTGTGAGCCAGGATTCCTATTAGCATGCACATCTGGCTAGTTCATAGGCCCAGAGCTGAGCACTGTGGTACCTGGCAGGACTAGGCTGGTCTTTGGTTTTTGTTTTGTTTTGTTTTGAGACAGGGTCTTGCTCTGTAGTTCAGGCTGGCCTTGAACTCACTATGTAGCCTAGGTTGGCCTCAAACTTGTGAATCCTTGTGCCTCTGTCTCCCGAGTGCTGGGATTACCGGCTTACACCACCATGCCTAGCTGAGCTGGTCTTTGACAGTGGTCACAGATACTTTTCCTAAACTAGAGGGTTCTGCATGCAAGTTTTCTTCTCTGTAGCTTTTCCCTTTTCCTGGGATGTCCTAGAGACCAGGTAGGAGGGCCAGATGAGGGGTTTTGCAGATGCGCAAGCAAACAAGCAAGCTTGAGATGCAGCCTGGGTTAGTCACTCCTCGAGGTGTAAGGCTACTACCCATGGGTCCTCTGCCTGTGTCTGCCTGGCTGCATCTCACCTTTCCTGTTCTTTCTCAGGGCTCAGGAGCAGTTCCAGAGAAATCCTGACAGTTACAATGGTGCTGTCCGTGAGAACTACACCTGGTCACAGGACTACACCGACCTGGAGGTCAGGGTGCCGGTGCCCAAGCACGTGGTGAAGGGGAAGCAGGTAAACACGTGGACTGGGGTGGAGGTGCGGGTGGAGTTTCACTCAGTCAGTCTGCGCTGGCTTAGGAAGGAACCAGCATTACTGGGGGAGGGTTGGGATTGGCCTCAGGATGTAAGGCTTGGTCCTGCTCCTGCCTCAGTTGGGGTCACTTGCACACCCCCTGCCACCAGCTGGTATTTGGCCTGCAGGCATCTCCTCCTTAGGAGCAGCATCAGCGCCATGAGAAAGGCCCACGTGTTTGATGTTCTCGTCTCCTGCTAAACAAAGTCGTAGATGCTCTCAGGGCCCTGGTGTGGGCGGCCAGCTTCTTGGTTTTCAGGGGCAAACTCCAACATTGCCTTGGTGGAGTCCCTATTTTCCCAAAGATGGAGTCTGTCTGGAGCTTCCCAGCAGGAGCTGGGTCAGCCAGGCCCACAGGGAGGCCTTCACTTGGCCACTGTCCCTTGATTTTCTGGGTATCCCCAGCCAGAACCCAGTAAACTCATGTTAGACAAGGTGACAGGTGGGTGGCACCTCCCTGTGTGTGACAGACTGTGTGCTGGGGAGATAAAGGATTTGTGACCTACTCAGGGGGCAGGAGGGGAGAGCATGGGTGCTGCAGACCCTGGAGCCCAGGGACCGCCCGCCCGGCATCCCCATCTGCTCTCCGTGCTGTCTGTTCCCTCTTTCCTGCTCTGTTTTTTCTGGTTTCACATAGGTGATGTGTGAGCTGAGTGCACACTTCCTGTCCTGGAGCCTCCTTTCTGCAGTTGGCTCAGGGTCCTTCAAGAGGATGCTCTCCCTGTCTCAGCCATGTCCCGTGTCACTCAGTTCTCCTCACAGGGTGTGGAAGGCTCGTCCTGCTTCTTTCCCTAATGACGGGCATAGCACTGCTGCTTTTGCTTCAGCCATGAGTACCCAGGTGCCCTGACTTAAACCAGGTCAGGTCACGGGTGAGACTCCCTGCAGTGTTGCCCCACCCTAAGGACAAAGGAGAAACCCAAGGCCACAGGACCAAGTGCTGTCCCAGTTTGTGCCCTGTGGCTCTTCCGTGGAGCAGGAACTGGCTTCTGAAGCCTCCTCTGGTAGCTGCAGTGAGTAGACGTGCTCTTCTAGAGGAGAGCTGTTTCCTCAGGCAGCCTTGATAGCCGTGGTGGTGTTGTCAGTTGTTGCAAATAGGTAGTCTCCACTCAGAGCCTCAGGCAACAGAGCCAGTATGAGGTGTGTCCTCACCTGAGTCTTCACCAGAACCTGTGGCCTGTAAGGTAATGTTGTTATTTCATAGATGAGGAACGGAGGCTGCGAGAAGGTGTTATGGTATCCAGTGGCTGCCCCTTGTGGTCACCCTGAGCAGGGTACTGGACACATGTCTGCCGGAGTAAAGGGCTGGAGTGTGGTGGCTGTAGGTGCATTTCTGAGCTCATGCTTGTCTGTTGGACCGACACTGGAGACTGCTGTGTCATTTCAGACAGTGAGGCACACCCCCCCCCCCGCCGGGAGGACGGTTGGACAGCAGTTGGGGTCCACTCTGGCCTGGGCCATGTAGATGTGCCAAGTCCAGGCTGGCGGTGAGGAACTCCTGGCCCTCTTTGCCCATGTGTAGCATCTGGGTGGGGACTGTAGCAGGTGGCCAGGGTTGTATGAGTGCAGCTTCTTCCAGGGGACAGAGGCAGGACATGTTCTTGTGCTGGTTGTGGAGCAAAGATGGGCCTCTCAGCCTTTAAAGTACCATAGCTGTCCATCAGTGAGTTGTGAGTGGCCTGACTTTGGCAGGAAGCAGCCATTTGCAGAATTCGTCCTGCTGCCCACTCCGTTATAGTGTGTCTTTCCGGCTCCCCATAACCCCTGGAATCAGGGTTCAGTGTACCTGTGGGATCCGAGTCAGTCCAGAGTGTGGGGGTGCTGCACAGACTCCCACCTTCGAATGGCCGCTCACGATCTGTTTTGGTCAGATCAGGAGCAGGTACTGGCTGCCCTTCTTGAGTTATTTACCCAACTTCTTTTTTTTTTTTTTAATGCAACTTCTTAGGATATTAGTGGATCAGGTGTTGATTTCCATGTTATTTTCTGGTAGGATTGTCAATCAGTTAGGAATTCTGAAAAGTGTTGATTTATATGCTCATCCACTGGGCCAAAAAAATTAGTTTCCTTGACCTTTACCGACTTCTAACATGCTCCATGCATTGCTGGGGCTTTCTCTCAGAAGGCTCATCATAGGCCTAGCCTAAAACTGGTTATCTTCTGTGTAGATGACCCCGCAGACTCAGGGTGGCTAACCACCTTTGCCATTCCTTCCACACCCATCAAGACAGCTGCGCTGGACAGGTGTTGGGTCTCAGCTGTGCTACCCACTAACTGGAGTTGAAACCATAGCTCCCTCTGTGGACATCATGTTGGGTGAGGCCCTGCCCTGTGGATCTTACAAGCTGTGCTGTTTCAAAATCAGCTTTAGGACTATCACACATCCCTGTTACAGACCTGGGATGATGTGGTCCTACTTTCACCACGTGTAGCCCTGGTTCTGACGCATTCTGCAGTGGGTATTTTCTGAGTGCATGGCCCATGTGGGGGTCACCAAATCAGACCAGGTTGCTGATTCAGAATGTACAAGGGGTTATCAAAACATACGGTGGGAGTTAAAATTTTTAAAATTTATCACAGTAAAAGATGCATTGTCATTAGTTCCCTTTAGAAAACTCCCCCTTACTTCAAATACTTATCCTATCATTTTCCCAATTTCTGAAGCAGTTCTGGAATCCTCTTTCCTGAGTGTCTTTACAGGGTCAGATCAGAATATGGTGAATAGACAGGCTCCTAAAAACATTACAGTGTGTCCTCATCACCTTGCTCACTGACTCGGCACGTGTGGCTTCTGGCTCATCCTCAAAGTCAAAATGACTATGAAAGGTAATGTTTTGAATGGATTCAGGATATCCAGGCAGTTGCCACAGCATAACTAAAGATGACTCCAGAGCTGCTTCAGAAAGTGGCAAGAAAGGTGGGATAAGTGTGTTCCAACCAAAGGGGAATTGTTTGAGGAGTACTAATAGCAATGTGTTTTTTACTGTAATAAATTTATAAAAATTTAAACATTCACTATCTTAGAATATACCTTGTATATCCTTTTATTATGCAGGCAGAAGAGTTGGCAAATAGTGAAGTAGGCGATGGCAGGTGGGGGCAGTAGTGAGTACGTAACAGTGGTTGGTGTGGGTCCAGGGCTGAGGGGGTGCCCGTCTCGGTGACCCATCCCTCCTGTCCTCCGGCCCGCTGCAGGGCTGTGCACTCGGGGCTGGCAGTCAGCCTGTTCAGGTCGCTGGTAGCAGGAGCTGGGCCGGGAACCAGCATCCTTTGCACCCTGAGAGGGCCCAGAGCACTTTACTGTGACACCGCAGTGCCAGGGGCTTCCTGTGGCTGCTCTTGGCTTGTTTAGCATGGGCATTTTGTGGCACTCACTGACATAACTTACCCTAGTGACCTGCTTGTGAAAACCTTCATCTCCTCTGTGGTGGGGAGTTTTCTTTTCCTTCTTGGATAGCACCCACCCCGCCATCATTCTTACAATATCATGAACTTTCTTTAGAGAAGTCTTGGTCTCTCGTTTAGTGATCTCAGCGTTTTAGTCATACCCTTATTCAAACTTTGGGACAAGTTTACTCTGTGTCTCTTGGGTTCCACTGCTCCAAGGCTTTTCCTGAGTTGCTCCTTTTTCTGGACTGGCTCCTTTCCCGTTGTTCCCCAAGTGTACCTGTCACGGCTGCCTGTCAGCAGTGTTTATTTTGGGTTTTTGTCTCTAGCACCCATCAGATATAATCATGGTGGCAGCGACGACTGACTGCAGGGCTCATTGGAAGGAGCTGGCCCTTGCTGTGCCCTGTGGGGCAGGGCCTCGGTGGAGGATGGCGTGTCACTGCAGGTTGCAGCCTGGCCTCTTCCGAGTGCCTCACCAGTCCCTTTTCTGTCAAAGTGGGTATGGCGAGGGCCTGCCACCTCTCAGTAGGCGGGGACACTCGGGAGCGTGTGCGCAGTGCATTGCGCTCTTCAAGGGAGGGCAGAAACGGTCTTGTTCTGTAAGCAGCATTTAAAAAAATCACTTCGCTGGTGAATCTAAAGAAGAGCCAGTGTGAAGTTTTTAATCTCCTGCCTCAGATCGTAGTTCTGTCTTTTCTTAGCCCACTCTGCTGTTGAGGAAAAGCAACTTGCCTCCCTTCCCTTCCTCAGTGTACCCTCAGAGGAGGACAGGAGTGCTGAGCTCATGCAGTAGATGTCTGTGATTGTTCATTTCAGATCTTACAGTTTCATTGTTTTTGAAAATTCATCTGCAGAGATTTTTGATAAACTCATTTGCAGATGAGAGGACATCTCCTGGTGCGACGGTGTGGAGACCAGAACCCAGGCTCCCAGCACCGTCGTGTTGACGTCTTGTCAGTGCACATGCTGTGGTGTTGTTCTGGCTGTTGCTGAGTGACAGTGAATCCGTTTGCTCTGGCATCTCCACTCTCCTCTCTGAGGTGGTGGGTGCCTGTGCCCTGTTGTGTGCCTGTGCCAGCTCTAGCCTCACCCCAGAACCTCTGAACAGTACCTTGGCCCCATGTGTGGCTCGCAAGGATCTTACCCAGCTCCGGGCTTAGACTTGGGTGACACTTGCCTCTAGGCTCAATGCAGGTGCTGGGGTTTGTGCTGAAAGCTCCGTGACATATGGCGTTCCCTTCTTAGAACGCATCTGGAAGAAATGTGGGAAGAGGTTATTACAGGAAACTTCCACAGCAGAAAAGACCAGTAGGCTGCGTTTATCCACTGAGCTTTAATTCACCTAATTTTTGAATGTACAACACTATGTGCACAAATATAAACATGACCAGTGAAAGCGGGGCTTGGCTCTGTGCCTTTTCTACCCCACACTGACCTAAATCACCCTATGACTGGTGTGGGCGATACTTTAGCAGATACTTTTGAGGCCTATGTAATCAAGCATGAACACGTTTCCCTGTTCCCACTGTTAGCACAGATGGTGTGTTCCA